GGCCGGGGGTGCCCCTCAAGGCCTGTGCCCGGAGCCCCCTGCCCCTCCTCTGTCTCCCCTCCCTTCCCCACTTCCCTCCCCAGCTCCAGACCCTTCTCCACGTAGGTGAGAGAGGAGAGAAGAGGAGAGAGGAGAGAGCCGACGTGGACGTAGCCCCGTCCGTGGGCCGGCACTGTGCCGGGCGCTTCATTATTGTCCCATTTGGTCCTCACAGCCACCCTGGGGGGCGGGGCCCGCTCTTGACCCTGTTTTACAGATGAAGAAACTCAGGCTGAGGGGCTTGCCCAGGGTCACACAGCTAATTGTGTCTGAGGCTGGATTCGAACTCGGGTCTTCCTGACCCCAGCCTGCGCTCTGCAGCGTCCCAGCAGCTGCCCCTCTTGCCTCTAGGATCTAAAAAGATGGCAAATCCTCATTTTGGAATTGCCAACCCTTCAGCGTCTGGCTCAGCCTGTCCTCAGCCACCCCGTGCCCTGTGTGATCAGGGGGGCAGAGCTCAGACCCGTTGGCGTTCCGGGGAATCAACCGCACACCTCGCCTCTCCCTTTCATGGACACGTTAGCCAGATGCCACCTCTGCCCTTGTCGGGCTGTGCCCCACGCCTGAAATGCTGTTCCGTATCACCTCAGCCTCTTGGTAGCCCAGGCTTCCTCCTCTGGCCAGCCCCCCACCCCTTCCCCCCAGTCAGTGGCATTCCTCTCTCCTTCAGATTGCCTCCGCTCACCCCACCCCATTCTTTACTTCTCGGTGCACGAGTCGCTAGTAGCCCCAGGAGATGGGCAGCTCCTTGTGGGCAGGGCTAAGCCGGGCGTTCCTGGCTGGGTATCCTCAGTGCCTGCAGGGCACGCGGTAGGGAGCTCACAAGGCCCAGTCTTTCTGGTCTCCCCTCCCAGGCAAAGCCACATGGAAGGTTTGGCCACTAGGGGTCACTGGCACCTTCTGGACCTTCTGGCCGAGGGCGGGTCTGTTCCAGCTTTAAGGGGGCTGCACCTCCATGCATTCCTCTCCATTGACAGCGGAGGAAACTAAGGAAGTACAGCAGGGTCACAGAGGCAGGGATGTGAACCAGGAGCTCAGACTTCAATCCCTATGGGATTTATGCTCTTTTTCAAACTGAAAGGTTGACAATTCTTTCTCTCATTTTCAAAGTCTTTTCTGGGTCGCTGGTTACTTGTCATGCCAGAGATGACTTACTCCTTTACTTTCCATAATCTTGCCAAGATGAAGGAAAAGGAGAAAGATATCCGTTAACCCTTGGTCAAGCGGGGATGACCGTGGGCAGAGTTGACACAGCCTGGTCTTCCTGGTCCTCTCTGGGAAGATACTGGAAGAGGCCTGGGTGCCGTGACTTGGGCTCCCTTTTTTTTTCAACCCCTGAGAAGGGTCCAGTGTGAGCACCACTGGAAATGGGAGAGTGGACCACGTCGGACTAGCCTCCTTCCTTAGTGGGGCCTGCACCCTCTACTTCTCCGGGCCCCAAGCAGGTTCTTTTAGGTGGCTTCCACTCAGAGTCCAACAGCCTGAACCAAGGTGGGCCCCTGAACAGGGTATAATGGCAAGCCTGTGGTGGCAGGAACTAGATTGTGGGTTGGGGGAAAGAGAGTCCTAGGTGGGCTTATTCATTTCATCTTTTCTCGAAGCTGCAGATGGAGACCAGCACCCTTCAATGTGATAGACACCGAGAGAGCCAGTGGGGGGAGGGGTGAATAGCTATAGATATGTAGGTAGGTAGGTAGGTAGGTAGATATAGATAACAGAGCTTTGATTCAGCACTGTGCTTAACACCTGGAATACAATCATGAGTAAGCAAGATAAACTCCGCCTTCAAGGAGCTTACAAATCTTAAACGCCAACATGTACAAAACTGAGCTCATCATATTTTCCCTTAAACCCTCTCCCCTACCCCACTTTCCCTATTACTGTAGAGGGTATTGCCATCCTTCCAGCCCCTTAAGCTTCCAACCTAAAAGTCATCCCAGATTCCTCACTATCTCTCACTGTCTGCAACCCCATATCCAATATGGTGCCAAGATCTGTGAATTTCACCTCTGCAACATCTCTGGT